TCAGGCCTGGCAGGGGACCCCCATCTCCCCCCGATCACCAGCTCCGCTCTCACCCAGGCCTGACGCCTCAGTCAGAGGCGTCGACCCCCATCATCCTCCGATCGCCAGATCAGGCCCTTGCCTAGGCCTGACGCCTCCACCAGAGGTGTCAGGCCTGGGCAGGGGACCCCCATCTCCCTCCCATCGCCGGCTCCGCCCTCCGCCCAGGACTGACGCCTCTGGCCCAGGCATCAGGCCTGGGGAGGGGACCCCCATCTCCCCCTGATCACCGGCTCCACCCTCGCCCAGGCCTGATGCCTCGGCCAGAGGCATCGACCCCCATCACCCTCCGATCGCAGGATTGGCCTCTTGCCCAGGCCTGACACCTCCATCAGAGGTGTCAGGGAACCCCCATCTCCCTCCGATCGCCAGATCAGCCCCCTGCCCAGGCCTGACGCCTCTGGCCCAGGCTTCAGGCCTGGGCAGGGGACCCTCATATCCCCCCAATCACTGGTTCCGCCCCCCCCACCCAGGCCTGATGCCTCTGGCCCAGGCATCAGGCCTGGGCAGGGGACCCCCAGACCCCTCCGATTTCCGGCTCCGCCCCCCGCCCAGGCCTGACACCTCTGCTGGCGGCTGCGCTGTCCGGCCCTGCCTGCAGTATGCAAATTAGCCGCCATCTTTGTTAGCGGTTAATTTGCATATCACGCTGATTAGCCAATGGGAGGCGTAGCGAAGGTACGGTCAATTACCATGTTTGTCTATTATTAGATAGGATACAAGAGGTTTGTTCAGAAAATATATGAGAGCTTTAAGAATTTTGGTGCGGTATATATATACAGTGGGGCCTTGACTTACGAGGGTCCCGACTAACGAGTTTTTTGAGATACCAGCTGTCTCTCGGCCGATTTTTTGCATTGAGTTGATAGAGTAATTTGAGTTAACCAGCTCCTTAACGAGCTCGGTCTCGGAACGAATTAAACTCATAAGTCAAGGCCCCACTGTATTTTTAAAAACACTGGGGATGTGCCCACAACCAAGGTACATGCCCTTGACCGGAATCGAACCTGGGACCCTTGAGTCCACAGGCCGATGCTCTATCCACTGAGCCAAACCGGTTAGGGCAGTGCGGTATATTTTTTAATAGAAGTAGCATTTCTTAAAAAAAAAAAAATTTGGCCCTAGCCAGTTTGGCTCAGTGGATAAAGCTTCAGCCTACAGACCAAAGAGTCCCAGGTTCGATTCCAGTCAAGGGCACATACCTTGGTTGCAGGCTCTTCCCTGGCCCAGGCCTTGGTCTGGGGCTCGTGCAGGAGGCAACCAATCGATGTGTTTCTCTCACATCGATGTTTCTCTCTGTCTTTCCCTCTCTTCCACTCTCTAAAAATCAATGGGAAAATATCCTCGGGTGAGGATTAACCAAAAAAAAATTTTTTTTTTCCTGTGAAGAAACTACTCTGTCAGTGTACCTCTTTCCAGATATATGGATCCTCCGGTACAGTGTTCTCCATTTCTCCTAGAGTGTAGAACAGCAAAGCAGATTTCTTTTTTTTTTTTTTTAAGTGCAGATTATAGTCTTTACTCTCAGTTTTTAAAATATTTATAACTTAGAGTAGAAAACATTTGGAAAAGTATTTCAAAATATCTTTACTTTTTTTTGGTAATACTGATTATCCATATACTTATTTCTGTACTAGTTCCTTTTATGAGCATTCAACTCAGGTAGAGGTAGAAATGTATACATAGAGACCATATATTCAAGTAAACTCAGTAAACTGTGTTAGTTTAAAGCCATTTGCCTCAAATATTAGCCTGAGTAGATTGGGGCTGTCATGGCTCCTCCAAATGTAAAATTCTGCAGATCTGAATAGCTATGCAGACATAGACTGAAAACTGTTGTGTCTACCTTGCCACTAATAAGTGATGGGAAAAGTAAATAAAGTGATAGTTTTCCTCCAGAACTTAAAGGAGTTGAAAATGCCAGTAATTATAATAAGCAGTATATGTATACAATAACACAATAACACATACCTGGTTTATGTCTCTAAAGTAAGTTACTAGCACTTGAAATAAAAAGTAGTTAACTCTACTAAAGGTAGTAAAATCCATCTTGGTCTTTTAATCCTCTTTATTGCTTAAATATTAGCATTATCCGTATTCCTCTATTAATTTAGGGTTATTTAGTGAGATAAGACAGAAGGTGTATTAAAAATAAATTAAAGAAGGTATGGTAGAATGGGAGGCATAGTAAGTGGAAAATTTAAGAGTAAGGATATTTATTTCATAAGGGAACTTGATAATAATAGAAAATGCATTTTAAATAAATAAAAAGTAGATATCTTTGATTTGGTCAAGATACCTACGATTTAGGTAAAGAATTTCTATAATTTCATTCTGTTATAGGTAATTCTTACAGAACTTTACTGTGATTTCACTGCATAGATATTCTCTCGTTGTTTTAAGTGATACCTCTGTAGTTTGAAAAAAAAAAATAGTTTCCCATTTATAGACCATTGCTCATTCACTCATGAATTCATGTAACACCCAAAAGGTGTTGAGTGAGGAATATTTCTTTTTTGAGATAAAGAAATTAAGGTCCAGAGTGTTTTTTATATTATCTTACTATACACAGTTACTCATACAATTCCATGTTATTCAATATATTCTCTTGCTTTTCACAATATACAATACCTGAAGCCTTACTTTTGGAAACTGACTCATAGCAAATGTCTAGCAGAGCCTTAGTAAAGGAAGTCCACACAGCAAGTACTGTGCATCCCAGTGTTAGTTAGCTGGGTTACTCTTGAATCCTTCCATGCCTTACAGAAAAAGCAGTGAGTCTCCTGTAAACCACTCCCAGGAGTATGATGGTGAGCACAACTATTCCACAACAAGGCTGAATGCCCATCGTGGGCCCAGGAAGTATACACTTGGCTGATGAACACAGGTCCAAGAATACGTGCTGCACAACCAGAAGCTGTTAACCAGCCCATGTGCACACCCTGAGGTTTTGGTCCCAGAAGTTTTGAATATAATGTATATGACATAACATTGCAGGATGGATAGCCTATTCCAATTAACACAGCTGATGTGAGGAACTGGGCCAGATGGATAATGGAGGGTAGAGGCACCAGGCTTGTTCAGTTGGGCAACCAGTTGGTCCTTCACTCTGATCTTCTCTTGGAGACCGCCAAAGAATAATAATAATTTCCCCAAATGTGGTATTAGAAATTGAATGATTATGTAAATCTTCCCACTGTATCTTGGAAAATTGATTTCCCCAAGGTAACAAGATAAAGAAGCCAACCCATATGATAACGAGTCCTTCCAGCAGAATAGCACACTCGCCAATCCTTTTGGCAAGTGATTTAATCCCCATGAAAATAATAACGGCCTCAATTCCAAGAGCAGCAAGTATTATTCCATCACATAATACAGCTTGTTCTCTAGTCCAGGGATACATATACATTGTTAATAGAGTAAGGATGGTTTCAAAAAGGGCTAAGATAAATAGGACCACGAAAAACAGGACATTGGTAGTCACAACAGCCACTTGATCAATACTTCCATGGGGAACCTGAATTTCATCTGTACTTGCTTCTTCAAAATTAATACTTTTACACTGTGGTCCTGAGTCATCCACATGATGCTCTCTTAATATAATAAGGATCAGAATAATATTTAAAACTCTGGGGAAGGCGCCAAGTAAAACTGGTGCTGTATACATGTTTATCTGAAGCTGTATAGTCTCCCCTGTCACGCCCTTTTCTCCAATGAGTGCAAAACAGGTCTGAAAAACTGGACCTAGAATAAAACCTAATGCTTGACATTACACTTGTGTTTGCCATGGAACTTGTTCTTCCCTGAAGGGAAGTAGCACCAGCAATATATGATCTAATAACTGCCACATTTCCTGCTCCAAATCCCACCAGTCCACGAGCAGCTAACAAGTAGTATTTATTATGAGAAGCTGGGACGTGCATATATCCATAGAGGCAGTTGGCTGCCACTGAAATGAAGATGGAGACAGTGAGAGGTTCATTTCTTGGTCTATAATTAGATCACAAACCAAATATAGGTGAAGCTACCATTTGGCCAAGACTAAATGAAGCAATAACCCAGCCCAAAAAATTGTATCAGCTGCCTGGTCATTCTTTTGGAGAGAGGATCGTATTGACATTATCACAATAGAAAATCTTACACTGCTGAGAAACATAGTAAGATACAGAATCCTAATAGACCTCCATCGGCTCTCATAAGGCACCTCAGTTTCTATAATATCCCATTCTCTGCTTCCGGGTGTTCGGTCGTCTAAGAACGGCTCCTGCTCAGCCTGAACCCCCAGGCCCACAATACTTACCCTGAGATTTTGGTCCCAGAATTTTTGAATATAATGTAAATGACATAACATTATAAGCAAGGAGGTGAGAGGCTAACTCTCGCGACACCTCTAGCACCTTCACATCCTACACAGTTGCTGTCAGACCAATCCAGTCGCAAAGCAGATTTTCTAGGAACATGAATGTGGGAAAGATGCCTGGACTGGGGAGAAGTTATAATATACGTAATACTAGCTATAGTTATATTGTATTTACTCTGTTCTAGTCTCTGCACTACGTACTTTTTAAAAAATATATATTTTATTGATTTTTTTACAGAGAGGAAGGGAGAGGGATAGAGAGTTAGAAACACCGATGAGAGAGAAACATCGATCAGCTGCCTCCTGCACACCCCCTACTGGGGATGTGTCCGCAACCAAGGTACATACCCTTGACCAGAATCGAACCTGGGACCCTTCAGTCTGCAGGCCGACGCTCTATCCACTGAACCAAACCGGTTAGGGCTCTATGTACTTTTATATGTTAACTCATTAATCTCTACAACAACTCTATGAGGTAGGTTCTATTACTACTCTTCATTGATAGTTGAAGAACCAGGGCACTAAAGAAGTTCAGTGACTTGCCTAAAGTCATAAAGCTAGCTTTGGCAGAATGGAATATGAACTCAAGCAGTCTGGCTTGAGAATCTGTACTCCTAAGGATTATGCTGTACGGGTAGTTGAGGGAATATTGGAGAGTGGAAAGTCCGGTAGAAGGAAAAGGAAGGACATTGTGATGAAAGTTAGTATAATCTCCATTTCAGAATTCCAGTGAGAATCTTCCCAACACTAAAGTGTCTAACATAATGACTTGTCCTCCCAGTTTATACGATTTACCTTTCGTAATTTCTCTTAATTTTCTTTATAAGTTAAACAAGAAAAAGAAAAAGATGTTGCTCAGTCTTGGGTATAATAACAAATTAAAAATTGTCTCTTTTTTTTAAATTGGGGGAGAAGAGGAATGCCATGGAATGAGCCATTTTAAGGTTCAGAACACCTTCTTGGAAGCAAGCATGTATAACTTGAAAAAACGTCTCAAGTTATTATGAGAACTGTTGTCTTAAAGCATTTTTAGGTGTTGTGGAGTTTTTCTTTTACCACATTGTCTTCAGAGAAAATCTGACTTGCTTGTGACTTAGCTGGAATTTCTGAGTGATATAAAAACGGAAGGGGTCTACAGATATGAGAAAGAACTGTAGAATGCTGTGGGTACTAACCCTGGCCATTGCTCTTCAGGTAGCTGCTAAAAACCTAGAATAAGGATATCATGAAGATGACTTACTTTGCCTCTTTCTTGTATAGCCTCAGAAGAAATGGGTTTGATTTAATAACTTTTAGCAATGGAATATGTCAATCAGGGGCTAATATATTCATTTTGGTTCTTGCAGTCAAGTAAGCAACCCCGAAGTCAGTGATCAGAAACCTGAAACTTCAAGCCTTGCTTCAAACCTTACCATGTCAGAGGAAAGTAAGTACCAAATTCTCTGCATGACATAAGTGGCATTCCTATAAACCAGGTGATGCTGTTCTTTTATAATTGGTCTCCACTGATTGCCTTGTTTGTCCTGGATGTCCAGAAGACTTTCCTTCGTGTGTGTGTGTGTGTATCCCCCACGAGTTGTAGATCTCCTCTTTGTTCCTTGACTCATTGGAACCTCTGAAAAGAATTGCCCTCCTTTGGTTTCTCACCTCCCATTCACTCTTCAACCCTCTCAAATTTAGTTTCTATTACCACTCTTCCAATGAAATTGCTCTTGTCAAGGCCATCAGTAACTTTCAATAACTGCAAGTACTAGTTCTGGTGGACATTTCTCTGTTCATATCCTTCTTCTCACTACTATTCTCCCACCTTTCTCCTTTGCTGACCCTTCGTTCGCTGTCTGAACTCTGAATGTTGGTGGGCCCTCGGGATTTGTTTCTAGTCTTTTCTCTTTCCGCATCCTCTCATGCATTAGTATATTTCCAGTCTAACTTCTCCCCTGATTTCATTTGTGTATTCAACTACCTGTTTGACATCTCCACTTTGCTCTAAAAGGGAAGCCATACTTAAAATGTGTGGAAGCTTTTTATTCCCTTAGCCTCCATCAAATCTGTTCTTTTCCCAGGTTTTTCCATCTTGGGAAGTGGTTTCATTATCCCTCCAGTTGCTCAAGCTGAAAAACCTAGAAATTGTCTCTTTTTCCCTGTTTTCTTCATTCCTTACATACTAATCCATCAGAATGTTCTGCTAGTTTTACCTTCAGAATATACTTCAAGGTTTTAACTTGTCTCCATTGTTGTTCCTCTACTATAATAGCAGAGTATGCCTTGACTCTTTATAATCCTTTTATAGTTCCCAAATACTGCAAAGATCAAGGCTTATTCTTTCTCTAGAAAAATAAAAATTGGCCTAAATCTCCTAGGACTGTGGTCGGCAAACCGCGGCTCGTGAGCCACATGCAGCTCTTTGGCCCCTTCAGTGTGGCCACGAAGTTTTAATCGCACTGTACGTGCGCTCCCGCACGTGGTATTTTGTGGAAGAGCTACACTCAAGGGGCCGCAGTTTGCCGCATTGTCCTAGGATATTTTGTCAGTCTCTTCTAGAATTAACTTAACCCCTAGAGTGCTGGGGAGCGCGATCGCGTTCCTCCTGTCTTTCGCCAAAAGTGCCAGGAGCGCTATCGCGCTCCTCCTGCAGTGTCCAATTCTAAGTCTACTTTTATTAGTGATGATGATATTGCTAAATATGTCAAGTCTTGCTATGAAGATGACGATTTTGTGGAAGATATTGAATATGTAACTTCATTTACTTGCGATTCATAATTTTTTTCCTAAACTGCTGTAAAATCAGCAAAAATGCCTTGGCAATTTTAGCATAGTTCCTAGGATATTGGTTGGCACTCAAAGGGTTAAATCAAAGGAAGAGAAATGTTTGGGTTTTTGAAAGTATTTGCCAACACAGAAGGAACTATCATGTAGAATTCAAATGAACCTACATTCTTTGTGATAGAGAGTAAGAACTTTAGATCTAATTGAGATTTCTGTCAAAATGATTATGAATGAATATGATCTACAAGTTTCTAGTCATTATTGTTAAAGACCTTGAACAGTGGCAATGGACAAGATCTACTATGATAAACTCACAGATGTTGACTTGTCTTTACTATTGGGCATGAACATTTTCCTCATCTGCTCTTGACCAAAGTTCCCTTTTTGGTTCAGACACTCAGGGATCCCAGCTTGACATAAATTTAGTTGCTTCACTCTTAGTCCCTATTTATAGTAAAGCAACCTCATTTATAGATGTTGAAAGAAGTTCTTGAACAGTTCAGGAGCCTGGTACAAGCTCTATGATGTTTCAGTCTACAACATGGGCTGAAGTAGTGCCTAATGAATAGGATTTTGCTATCTGTCAACTTGAGTTGAATATTTATAGCATTTATCCAAGATGAAATCATGAGGGCCAAGCCTTCACAGCAGCTATTCTAGATAAAGTCATGAGGATTAAGAGGACACTAGCTATGAAAGTGTGTTTTCTTGCTAGGTTATCAGAGTATCACATGAGTTCCTCAGGTCTGTCTCTGATTTTCCAAAGTTAAAACCTTAAAACCACAAAGCTGAAACAATAGTAATATAGAAGCATATTTGCATCTTCCCTGCTGCTGACTATACATAGTGATAGCAACAATTTTCTAATAAAATTGGGTATTTCCCCCTAAACCTGTCTTCCTGCAAGTCAGTCATATGGCCAAAATAGAGAATCAGCACCCAGAGAATGAATAAGCTGAAGAAGTATAATGTGGTTTTCTAGATATGGATCTTACTTTCTAAGTTTGCCTATAGGCACAGCTAAGAGCTTAGGGTGCTCCATCTGTGGTTTTAAATCAGGAAGGGTGAAGGTAAAGATCAATTGGTATTAACCTTCAACTCTTTTCCATACCTCTCACATTCTAGCTTCTTTTATTGTCTAAAAGTCTCTAAATCTGTTATTAGAAGAGTGAGGTATTTGCTACTAGTCTTTCTAAATTTCTGATGTCCAATCTGTATTCTGTAATTTAGTTTGAAACACCATACAGTGAGATATAATTTTCCCATCTCATTTTTGAAGTGTTCTAACTTTTTACCTGGTCTTTCTTTCAGTAATGACATGTACCGATTACATCCCTCGCTCATCCAATGATTATACCTCACAAATGTATTCTGCAAAGTAAGTTGAATATAATTATTTAAAAATATGTATGCTTTTTCTCTAGGTTAATTGCAAAATTTAACTTGATATTTAACTCGGTAAGTTGACATTTAATTTATTTTCACCTCTCTCATTCTCAGTCCTTACTCTAATTTGTTGTTGTTCTTGTTAATTCAAGGATATTTTTCCATTGATTTTTTTTTTTTTTATTTTTTTTTTTTTTTTTGGAGAGAGTGGAAGGGAGAGGGAGAGACAGAGAGAGAGAGAACCATTGATGTGTCATTGATTGGTTGCCTCCTGCACTTGCCCTGACTAGGGCCGGGAATTGAACCTGTAACCAAGGTGTGTGGCCTTAACCGGAATTGAACCCAGGACCCTTTAGTTGGAGGGCTGACACTCTATCCATTAAGCCAAACCAGCTAGGGCCTTACTCCAATTTTTTTATTCCCTCCAAATATGGAGTCTGTGTAATATCTTTTCATTCATTCATTCATTCCTTACCCGAGGTTATGCTTTTTATAGATTTTAGGGGAGGGGGGGGCGGTGGAGAGAAAGATTGATCAGCTGCCTCCCATATGCGCCCCAACTGAGGATTGAACCTGCAACCCTGGTATGTGCCCTAACCAGGAATCAAACCTACCACCTTTTGATGTATGGGATGATGCTCCAACCAACTGAGCCACACCAGCCAGGGCTATAATATCCTTTTAAAAAGTAGATGGTTGCCTGGAATAGATCACTGTTACTCAGGAGCTCACTCTAAATCAGGGGTGGGGAACATCTGGCCCGAAGGCTGTATAAGGCCTTCGAAATCGTTTGGTCTGACCCTGCCAAGGCAGGGGTGAGTTAATTATATGTTTGGCTAAATATAGCAGGCTAATTTTTAAAAAAATATATTTTTATTGATTTCAGAGAGGGAGAGTGAGAGATAGAAACATCAATGATGAGAGAGAACCATTGACCGGCTGCCTCCTGCACGCCCCTCACTGGGGATCGAGCCCACAACCCACGCATGTGCCCTTGGCCAGAATTGAACCTGGAACCTGTCAGTCCATAGGCTGACGCTCTATCCACTGAGCCAAACCGGCTAGGGCTAGCAGGCTAACTTTTAAGGTGATATTTTTGTATGGCCTGTGAATGATGATATAAATATCCAAATAGCTATTGGCATAAAAAAGATTCCCCACTCCCGCTCTAAATAAATAGGCACTGAAAATGAAAAATACTGTTAGTGATCAAAGCATATTACTGATTAACCTCTGATCATTTTCTGTTTCCTTTACCTTGATAGACAGATCAATAAAAATAGCTCAAGCCAGCCTCATACTGGGACTTCTCAACCTACTTATGTTCAGTTTCTTGTCTTAGGACTATCCTCAGAGTAGAAGTGGACTTGAAGTTAGACAGGTTTAGTGGATTGAAGTCACTATGAAGCAGCCTGTGAGGGGTTAAGATCAGCATTTAAAATCCACCAAGTTAATCATCTCCTGACTAATTAGGTGCAGAACATTGTGTATGCCAAGCTGCCAGTTGTGCATTGATAGTGAGCCTATCCTATCTAATAATAGAAAAACATGGTAATTGGCCGTACCTTCGCTACACCTCCCATTGGCTAATCAGCGCAATATGCAAATTAACTGCCAACAAAGATGGCAGCTAATTTGCATACTGCAGGCAGGGTGGGACAGGGCCATCCCGCCTGCCCCGCCGCTATTGGGCCTGCTATCTGCGACTCGGGGCAGCGGGCGTCCCGTGTGCGACCCAACCCGGGGCAGCTGGGCGGGGTAGCGAAGGCCTGAAGGCGGCTCCTGCTGGAGCAAAGGCCTGGGTCCCGGGTGCTGGAGGAAAACTGGTGCCGGCAGCCAGGGGAAGGGAAAGCCTGTTGCATGAAGATTCGTGCAACAGGCCTCTAGTGTATACATAAATACATACAACTGTGCTTATTAAATGAGGATATATTCCTATGTGCTTACATAATGCAGGATTCATAGAAATTTGTAGCAGATCAGTGATGCCTGTGGGACTGTTGTAAAAAGAAAACTGTCATTTCCTTCCTTTTTTGTGCCCCTTTGTACCTTGATTTTGCACCAGTTAAAAATAACACTAATTAAAAAGTTAACTCAATGAGTTTTCCAAATTCTAATCTGGTATTAACACTAATAGCATACTTGGGCCAGTCATTTTCATGTGGTTTTCTTCTGTGAAATAACTAAACCTGTTCTCTGAGATATTATGGAGTTAACAAAATACTTTGAGCTGTAAAGACACTATATTAAATAGGGTATATCTGGAGATTAATCACTAAGATTTTAAATAATTCCCCATGCAATTTGATTAATAGCTACAACCTGAATTATTTCTTGGTCTCAGATCTGGCTAAGAAGAATAGAAATTTTCATATTCAGTCTCTTAGAATCCACTGAGATGAGAATATATTGCATATTCCAAATTCATTTACTTATTCAAAAAAGATTTGTATACCTACTATATTCAGTATACCTTATTAACTATGCCTCTATCTTTTGTTTTTTTAATGTTTTTATTGATTTTGAGAAAGAGGAAGGGAGAGGGATAGAGAGATAAAAACATCGATGAGAGTCATTGATTGGCTGCCTCTTGCATGCCCCCAACTGGCAATCGAGCCCGGAAACCCAGCCATGTGCCCTGACTGGGAATCAAACTGGTGACCTCGTGGTTCAGGGTTGATGTTCAACCACTGAGCAACACAGGCCTGGCATATGCCTTCCATCTTAATTCAGAGCTCCTGTATAACTTTTTTAACTGGACCTCTATTTCATTTTTCTCTCTTCTAATCCATTTACAGAGCAATGCCAAACTAATCTTTATTAAGGAGCAACTCTGATCTTGTCACTCTACTCAACAATTTCAGTGACTCCCACTTTTTCAGATTTGTCTGAACTCTTTTAGCCTGGTATTCAAGGTCTTGGCTATCTGTCTTTTTCTCTCTCTCACTACTTCCCTTCCCTTTATATAACTCCCTTAATATAATCTATGCTTCCTGCAGGCTGAAGCCCTTGCTTCCCTTCCTGTGTACCTCTTCCAGAGTTTTTCTATTTCCCTAGAACACACTTCTTTCCCTCTCCTGCACATTCTATATATGCTCAGTTCACATACCACTTCTTTATAGCCTTCCTTCGTTTTCTTCTCCTCCAAACCTGAAAAGAATCTTTTTGCTTTCTGAAACAACGCTTCCCTCCAGTATTTTATCATTATTACTCATATGGTACATGAAACACTTTTTCTTGTAAGTGCAGCATAACTCACCATATAATATAACTGTTATCTAAAAGTTCAATGCATAAAATGTGGGATCATCTTATTGCATGAATGAAACGTGAGGTCAGCCCTACCCAGTTTGGCTCAGTGGACAGAGCATCGGCCGGTGGCTCGAAGGGCCCCAGGTTCGATTCTGGTAAAGGGCATGTTCCTCGGTTGCAGGCTCCTTCCTGGCCCAGGCCCTGGTCGGGGCTTGTGCAGGAGGCAACCAGTTGATGTGTTTCTCTCACATCAATATATCTCTCTGTCTTTCCCTCTCTCTTCCACTCTCTCTAAAAATCAATGGAAAAATATCCTCGGGTGAGGATTAAAAAAAAAAACAACAGATGAAAAAGGAATGAGGTCATCTAGCTAGTATATATTACCGGAAGTTTCACTGCTGAATTCAAATCCCTAGTTAAACCTGATGTGGTTGGCACCATTTACTAGCAATATACTCTGGCTTAAATATCAGTGGGAAAATTCCAAGTGCTATCTGGGACTTTATTATCTGGCTCCTGTTTTATGGGCTTGATCTGACGTAGCAATATACTCTGGCTTAAATGTCAGTGGGAAAATTCCAAGTGCTATCTGGGACTTCCCATATTTTATTATCTGGCTCCTGTTTTATGGGCTTGATCTGACAATATTGGAGCCCCTTCCTATTCCCTTGCCTTTTCTCTACCAGCCTCACCCTCTTTTCTAAGCCCCACTTTTCCTCTTAGAACTTTAGTTTGGCCCTAGCCAGTTTGGCTCAGTGGATAGAATGTTGACCTGTGGACTGAAGGGTCCTGGGTTCAATTCCAGTCAAGGGCACATGCCCGGGTTGCAGGATCAATCCCCAGTAGGGGGCGTGCAGGAGGCAGCCAATCAATGATTCTCTCTCATCATTGATGTTTCTATCTCTCTCACCCTCTCCCTTCCTCTCTGAAATCAATAAAAATATTTTTAAAATAATTCTAAAAAGAACATTAGTTTGGCCCAGAAGGCTGGGTGAAGAACAAGAGCCAGTTGTGAAGCCTGTTCTATCCAATTTTCTATTAGTTTAGTTTTGTTCTATGTGTAGACATAAGGGCATAAACAAGTTTAATCCATCCTTTTTAAAAATATATATTTTTTTATTGGAGGATATTTGAAAATTATAAATTTTTCATAAAATTGTTTCTTAGGTAGGTTGTAGTAGAACCTGGAAAGGAAATATTAGCTCTACTTTTTGACCACAGTCAGAGACATTTTGTGGAAGGTTAGTCTCCTCATTACTGATTCTTGGCATTTAGTGGTATTAGCTATTTCTCCTATTTTTATTACTAAAATAAATCACACATGCAAGTTTTTGTTTTCTTGAACTTTTATAGACCTTATGCACATATCCTCTCAGTTCCTGTTTCGGAAACTGCTTATCCTGGGCAGACTCAGTACCAGACACTACAGCAGTCTCAACCGTATGCTGTCTACCCTCAGGCAACCCAAACGTATGGACTACCTCCTTTTGGTAAGGCATTTTATTATAAGCAGTTTCTAAGAAAATTGATTTTTATCCCCCAGAAACTGATCTTTTCCCAAAAAGCAAGCATGGCTGATCAGGAAGCGGAGAGATGAGTTGTTCTTTGTAGAGCATCTACTCAATTACAGATGTAATAGAAGTTGGGTTTGCAACTTCCCAACAGCATACTTGATGCATGTAATATAAAAAATCATGATTTTTCAGTACTCATTTGTTTATCTATCAAAGTTAGCTACCAAATTTCCAAGGTACTAAGTCTTGACTGTAAAACCTGGATTCTTTAAGTATTTGTGGAAAATCTTTGAGACATTACTATTGATTTTACTTTATATAAAACATGGTACCTTGGTTAAGTAAGCATAATAAATGTATTTTGAGGTGACTGGTTTGCTAAAGCCAGGCAATCTGAATATGTCTTATATTTGGGGAAATCCCCAATTTTATACAACCTTATATGCATAGAAAATTTTGTTCTTTGGTTATAGGCATCTTGGACATGAACTATAAATTAGAATGATTTACGAGAAGACAGTTTGAGATTCTTTGTACACTTGATATCTGCACTGATTTTTTTCTGTGTATGTAAATTGATAGATATATTAGGGTTGTTTATTACCTATTCCCTGCTTTCCTTGAACTGGTATGAAAAAAAAATGAGAGACTATTGTATTATTTTAAAATATGCAATATGTTAATAAAATTCTATCTCTGTAGCCTCTACTGAAACTAGCTGGGAATTAGAAAATCTTTCAACAGACCGCCACAGATTATGGATGTATTCGTGTTGCCTGCTTCTGGTTTCTACATTGCTACTTTTCCTGGCCCATTTGGCTAATCTTTATGATAGTGACCGCCTTCTTACTTTTAGGCATTTCTTGGCTCGTAATAACTACTAAAAAAAAAATTGAGGGTTATGTTTCATGATAGTCCTTGTTGGTAACTTCACAAGAAGAGAGAAACAGAAATGCTCTTATTTCTGAGTTTGTAATCCATGCCTACATGCCTGTCAGTTTCAGCCAGTATACTAAAATCTTACATTTGTGTGTTACTATAAACTGAACTGCTCAGGTTAGTTTGGTTATTGACTAACCCATAGTGACACATATTTGTGCTCAGAGACTTGGGTAAAGTTTATGATAAGACCCCAGTGTGGGGCAGCAAGAGGATGGCACTCAGAGAAAGACTTCCTTTCCCGTTGTTAGACCTGGCTGTTGCTCCACATCAGGCTTTTTGTGCTTAAAATGACTTGAGGAGCTTTGTAGTTGTAGGCATACAACTGTGGACTAGTGGTCAGGAAACGAAGATTTTGTTTTATTATTTGCTATGGGCAGTAATGCTCTATGATCAAATCATACTACTATTACTTGGAATTCTTGGAAGGGTGCTTTTGAAGGAAGATGCTTATATGCTTAAACACAGGTTTACAGTAATGCTGGCAGCAGTATCCATGTTGTCTTTTATTACTCTTGTCTTCATAAAATAATTATGTATTAAGTACTTCGTGTTTCTGGTCAAAAACATTAGAAACTAACTATTCCTTTATCTTGGACATTTTGCCCTAATTTTTAACCTTATAAAAAGAACCAGTTTATAGGCATTTTACATTTTAAAACTTAAAAAAATGAAATAATGAGGCTAGCAAAAGATTCTCAGTTAATATTATTTTTACTAATAAGGTAGGATTTTAGTACAGTATAATTATAAACATGTTCACAAATCCAACACCTTTGGTTCAGAACCCATTTAGAAAAAAACATTGATTACAATAAATCTGAAAGTTATTATGACATTGAAATAGCAATTTGTTTACTAGAAATTGTGAATCATGGTACTAATATCCAAATTTCATATAATGTTTTAAAAATAATATTCTTATATTTTTTATTGAAAATTAGATATAGCAAGAACTTTAGCTGTGGCTAACCTGGACAAGATTTTTTTAATGATCTTGAACTGGAGGCTGCAGGGGCAGTTCTTCTAATTCATGCTAGAGATGTTGATATCCTTCTATTTCCTCAAATAAGTCATTTCATATGTTTATTAGGAAAGAAAATAATAATGGCTTTTTGTTTTTTTAATGCTTCAAGGCAATTATCATGTCCGTCAACCTTTTAAGATTTTTACATCTCCCCGTACTATCCTTATATTTACTTTTCAACAAATTTTACAGATCCGAGTTGCACTAAAATATCTCAGTGCCCTGGTGAAGCAGAGGTTCTTACTATATTTCTATAAATTCTTTATCAGATTAGGAGTAAATGAAATGAGTTAATGTTGAATTTGAAACTGTGGCTGATTTTGGTATTGACTTCTTACCTGGAATGTATTTGATTGATGAACCTTCTTAAACCAAATTCTCAGCTTCAACTACACTGATCCAGCAACTGTAGCTATTCAGAACACAGTGAATAACCAGACAATAAGTTTTTTTATAAATAGACTTTTGCATAGCCAAAATTATCACAAAAACAACTCACTCATAAAGGACATCCTTGGGCTCTCATGTAAGAAGCAAAGCTTTGTTTATGGTTTCCTAGGTTACTACAAATGAAAAGGAGATAGATACAATCAGAGATAAGAGATTGTGAAGAAGTGAAAAGGTCACAGAGAAAAAACAAAGTGATACAAGTATCTAAAAATCATAGAACCATAATTGAGTTCTATTTAGTACTAAGCAAATGCCTTCACATATCACAATAACCTGTTTCTGTAATATATATATATAACTCTGATAAAAATCTAAAGGAATGTTCACTATTTCCTCCCTGCCAAGAAGGCAGGAAGAGATCCTATATAATAAAAGCCTAATATGCTAAGTGTCTGGTGTTCCAGTCGGCCGTTCAACCAATCAAAGCGTAATATGCTAATTATATGCTAAGGCTGCTCAACCGCTCGCTAAAATGTGCACTGACCACCAGGGAGCAGACACTCCTACCAGTAGGTTAGCTTGCTGCTGAGGTCCGGCCGATCGATCGGGACTGAGAGAGACGGGCTGGACACGCCCTGGAGCCCTCCCACAGTTCCTCCCCCGCTGGCCAACCTCCCGCATCCCTCCCTAGCCCCAATCATGCACCAGTGGGGTCCCTCAGCCTGGCCTACGCCCTCTTGCAGTCCAGGACCCCTCGGGGGATGTTGGAGAGCCGGTTTCAGCCCGATCCTGCTCAATGCAGGAACTGCCCCCTGGTGGTCAGTGCGCTCCCACAGGGGGAGTGCCACTCAGCCAGAAGCCGGGCTCATGGCTGGTGAGCACAGCAGCGGTGGCAGGAGCCTCTTCCACCTCCATGGCAGTCGGTCATCCCCTGGGGGCTCCCAGACTGTGAGAGGGCGCAGGCTGGGCTGAGGACCCCCCCCCTTTCCCAGTGCACAAATTTCGTGCACCGGTCCTCTAGGATAAATATATTAGAAAGATTGTCACTCAGGAGCATTGTGATAAAAATGAATAGCTCTGATGTTTATTAGTATGAGATAGATTTATATGTTCTGACATGGAACGATGTCTCTTAAAGGTATGTGGAAAAGCAAATTATGAACAGTATGTATAACATCTTTTAAATTTTTATTAAAAAGAAGAAAAAAGATTAGTAAGTACATAGGAGAAACCTGAGTGACTTTTCTGCAAACTTAATAGTGGTTAAATCTGGATGATGGGATTACATATGACTATTTTTTCTAAGTTACATATTTCTGTAATGTTTTTAATTTATAAAAATAAGCAGATGTGTCTTTCTTAATCAGAAGAAACAAAGGTAACAAAATAACCAGCTTAAGAAGGCAGAGAAGTATTTAATACATTTTAGAAAAATTTGGTGCTTTTTTAATGGGTAAGTGAATTTTAAACTTATGTGAAATGTCTCCCACTTTGACAATGCAGATAAATGATTTATTGCTGTACATGGACATCACACACTCTACATCAGATACTCTGGTTGGGTGTCAGTAGCCCCTGTTTTTTTTTAACCCTGATAAATTCCCCCCAATCATTGAAATGAAAATATTTATATATAATTATTGGGGTTTTGATAAGGTTTTTGTTTCCATGGCCCCACTCCCTAGTTCTTTGAAATTATATTTGCTTGTGGTACATTGTAAGTGGGAGAATCAGTAATTTTCTCTTACAAGCAAATTTATTTTCTTTTAAGATTTAGATTTTAAACTACTGGCTGATATTTAAAAGCATAACCAGGCTCCCCAGTCCCAATGTATTGTTTGTAATTGGTCCAATTTATCTGATTCAGGTGCATTGTGGCCAGGTATGAAACCTGAAAGTGGTTTAATTCAGACTCCACCTCCAAGTCAACACAGTGTTCTTACCTGCACTACAGGGTTAACCACAAGCCAGCCAAGCCCAGCACATTATTCTTATCCCATTCAAGGTAAATAGGCATGGTTGTGTGTGTGTATGTTTTATTATTGTTGGTTTTTGTTTTTAGTCTACCTGTATCTCCAGTGTAATAGGAGCTCTGTCTTCTAAAAGAGATATGTGCCATTGTGCATGCTTTTTGTGTTAGGCAAACCAGAACCTAGGATTGTGGTTTGTAAGTAGTTTAACCCTTTAATGTTAACTGCTTAGTAGAATTGAAGCTTTCCCTTTTGCATGTTGGTGTTCAGAAAACCAGTCTGTTCTCAGTGGCATTTTGTCCTATAAATAAGCAGAGGACTCTATGGTTAGAACTGACTTTTATATATAAAGTCCAAATAGAGTGGATTGTGAGGTGAGTGCTGCTTTGTGAGGTGTGTGCCACTTTTTTTCTGTGGTTTTATCATACCATTTACAATCACTTCTTAGTGAGAGGTTTTTGTTGATTTTTGTTGCTCAAAAAGTTGTTTCTATTTCATGATGAGAAGCATAGCATTAAACATCTCTGCCTTCCCAAATTCTTTCTCTAAAAGGATAGAAGTATGATAGGACTATTAGGAATGAGGACAAAAAAACTCAAAAGACACTATGGAATTAATTCCCAACCCATCCAAATCCAGTGCATGTAATTTATCAATGATAAATTAATGTCAGATTGGGAATTAATGTCCATGTACCTTGCTTCTCATCTGCCTCCTTTCTCCTGATTTCTCCCAGCTTTTAAATTTTATTCCTTATAAAATGGGTGCCCAAGGGGTAAGGGCAGGACAGCAAAAACTGGTTTGAGGTACTCTTAAGATGTAAACTTTGATGATGAAAAATGTTTTGGTGTGGATTATTTCAAACAAAATATTTTGATTGTTAGTTTTAACTGTTTTCAATTAAATGATTGAGAACTACTTCTGCTTGGTCCATTGAGAACAGAACCAGTCACTACGTCCTAAGACATTGCTCTGAGAGAACTGAATTAGAAAAGTTATCCTGGGATAACTTGGATATCCATTATTCCAAGGATATCAATGGACCAAGCAGCAGTTTCCAGCAGCAGTTTCCAGCATCCAGCAAAGTTCTAGTGACAGAACCAGTCACTACGTCCTAAGACATTGCTCTGAGCTACCTTTACCCTCTATTATTTACCGAGTCTCCTCTTTTCTTATTTATTTTTTCTTCTTTCTTTCTTTGTCCCTTCCCCTTCTTTCTTTCTAAACAGAACAAACCAGAAGGGAAAAAACTCGAAGAGCATGACTTTGTTTGTCTGTCTTCGCATCTACCCCAGTTGATTTTTATAAAGTATTCTCTAGGTTAGTAGACCTTTTGGGTCCAACTAGGTAAATCTAGTTGTCAAGTCCCTCTAAAGGGGCATATCCCTGATGACTACACCTAGGTCGTGAAAGAAAAGAAGGGGATACTCTTTTTTTATATATTACTAGCCCTCTCCCAAGGTGTAGAACCACCATTTCTCCATAGTTGTATCTTAAGTTTGAGGAACCTAATAGCTATACCTCTCTCTCTTTTTAAAAAAGAGAAACCACCTTTGGAGGTCTTTTAGAACTCATTGTTTTGCAGTGGTTCTCAACCTTCCTAATGCCGCGACCCTTTAATACAGTTCCTCATGTTGTGGTGACCCCCAACCATAAAATTATTTTCGTGGCTACTTCATAACTGTAATTTTGCTACTGTTATGAATCGTAATGTAAATATCTGATATGCAGGATGTATTTTCATTGTTACAAATTGAACATAATTACAGCATAGTGATTAATCACAAAAACAATATGTAATTATATATGTGTTTTCCGATGGTCTTAGGCGACCCCTGTGAAAGGGTCGTTCAACCCCCAAAGGGGTCGCGACCCACAGGTTGAGAACCGCTGCTTTAAAAGGTCATGAAAAACCCTGACTGGTTTGGCTCAGTGGATAGAGCGTCAGCCTGCGGACTCAAGGGTCCCGGGTTCGATTCCGGTCAAGGGCAGTAAAAAAAATAAATAAATAAAAGGTCATGAAAATATCCTTTAAATTCCATTAACCACTATCCTAACTTATATGTTAGTACATTTTCCCCCCTTTTGATAGATTAATTTGGTTTCCTCATATTTTTCTAATAATGATCATTGCTGGTGTTTATTAAGTGCTTACTATGTTCTTAGCATTGTTTTAAACAATAGATAAGTGTTAATCATGTAATCTTCACAGTATACTTTGAGGGAAGTACTATTATTTATTTCATTGTAAAGAAGGGGAACAGAAGACACAGAAAAAGCAAAGTGGCTTGTCAAAGGTCACAAAGTTAGTAAATAATAAAGTCAGGATGTTAGCTGGGCAGTCTGACCACAGAGCATGAGTGATTTATGATTGAAAATATATGATATTTAATATTGAAGTTATGGTATCAATATCAATTCTCCCATAATTAAGAACCTGTAGTGGCAGATATCTAAATTTATTTTTCATCCCTTTTTCTGGTTAACTTATTGGTCCATTGTATTATTCATTAGAACTTTGGCACAGAAATTAAGGCAGAAGTTCACCAAATTGAATGTCAACTTTAATGTAAAATAATTATTTTATTTTTTAATCCTCACCTGAGGGTATTTTTCCAATTGATTTTTTAGAAAGAGTGGAAGGAAAGAAGGCGGGGAGAGAGAGAGAGAGAAACATCAATGTGAGAGAGACCCATTAATTGGTTGCCTCCCACATGCACCCCTACTGGGGCTAGGGATTAAGCCTGCAACCCAGATATGTGCCTTTGATCAAAAATGAACCCAGTACCCTTCAGTCCGTGGGCTGATGATCTAACCACTGAGAAAACTGGCTGAGGTGAAAAAAATTTTAATTAAAAAAAAAAAAAGTAGTTTACCATTAACTTTATTTGGGTATTTTTTGTCACTTATTTTGAAGGAAAAAAAATTGTAGAAAATAAGTTGGAACAGTGGGCTAAAATGAAATATGGGTATTGGAACATTTAAATGACCTGGGTTCTCCACTCACTCTCCTCACCCCCACTTTTCATTTCCGTTAGCATGAACAATTAGTGTTAGCTGTCCAGGCTTCTTCCTCCCCACTATGTGACTACCCAGCCATTCCACAGAATACAAACAAGGAGCACTGTATTGATTTTTTGATTGTTTGTTTGTTTGTTAATCCTCATCTAAGGATATTTTTCCATTGATTTTTAGGGAGAGTGGAAAAGGGAGGGGAAGACAGAGAGAAACATCGATGTGAGAGAAACACATCAATTGGTTGCCTTCTGCACAAGCCCTGACCAGGGCCTGGGCCGGGGAGGAGCCCACAACCAAGGTACCTGCCCTTGACCGAATTGAACTCGGGACTCTTTGGTCCACAAGCTGATGTTCTATCCACTGAGCCAAACCGGCTAGGGCAATTTTTTGTTAATGGTCAAAACAGCAATATCTCCTCATTCTACCCAAAGCATTCTATCATTGACAGCAGCCTTTCTTCCTTTGGGAAGTTAGTAAAATGATCTCAAAAACTTAATTCCTCTTCTGGCTTCATCAGCTCTGATCACAACCTTTATTTATACCTCAGTGTTTATGAAAACCCTTTGATTAAGTAGATCTGGCTTCTTTATATTAATTTTTTCCTACACTGTTTGTTTATGGCCCAATATCTGGTTATTTTCTTCAGTTGAGATGGATTAAATGATTAATATTCAAGTGGCAAAATTAATTACAGAAATTTCAAATTTAATTTTAACTCAGCCTTGACTTTTAATGAAGGTCTTTGCGTCCTGATGTTGTTGGTAATACATAATAGTCTTTCATTGACCAGATTTGTTTTTATTATATATTTTATTTTTTAGAATAGTCTTAGATTTGTAGAAAAATTGAGCACATGGTATAGAGAGTTATATTTATCCTCCCACCTTGTACATAATTTCCCCTATTATTAACATCTTTCATTAGAAAGGAACATTTGTTACAATTAATAAACCAATATTAGTGCATTATTACTAATTAAGTCCATATTTATTCAGATTTCCTTAGTTTTTACCTGATATCCTTTTTCTGTTCCAGAATTCCATCCAGTATACCACATTTCCTTTGTCATGTCTCCTTAGGTTTCTCTTGACTATGCAGTTTTTCAGACTTTCCTTGTTTTTGATGACCTTGACATGCTATACCTGAATTCTACAAGTTATACATGTATACAAGATATAAATGAATCCCACAACTACTTACTGAGCATCACCTACTGTAGGCCAGGCACTTTGCTAGATATTGGAATTAATATCTTAAGATTCTGCCTTCATGGAGCTTACAGACTAGTAGAGGAGATAGAAAACAGGCGAGTAAATAGATTTTTGAAAAGTGCTCTGAAAGGAATAAAGAATAGATTGCTATGATTGGGAAAACAAGAAAGGAGTAGTTTCAATAGAAGGGTCAGAGAGAGTCTGAGAAGGAGGAGCTATCATGCTGGGAGGAGGAGAAGGACAGGCCAGGGAGAACAATCCAGGTAGAGATCCTCTCTTGTTTTGAGTAACTTGAAAAGGCCAGGGTGAGCAAGGGTGGTGGAGAAACATATATAAAATTAAAGGGGTGAATAGAAACTAAATCTTGCAGCAACTTTTATGTGCCATTAACCCTCCAGCTTTGGGGCAATGTCACTTAATTCAACGCTGCCTCTCACAGTTCTATAATCAAAGTCTTCTGATTAGAGCTCTCTAATTAGACCTCTAGTGGAACATGGTTCTCAGATGCTTTATCTTTCTATGGGTTCACAGCTCCCTTGTCAAAACAGGGGTGGAGACTTATCCAAAAAACAGTTGGCTATGCCATTGGCATTTGGAGAGCTAATAGCCTTTAGATATATATTAATAGGAGTTACCACTTGAGTTTTACTTGATCCTCTAAATTTGTACCTTTTATTGCATATCTTATTACTCCTGCTTTTGTTTATAAATCTGCAACTGACGAAGAATTGGGAGATCCCATTTTAATCATCTTAATATCTACCACTAGCTCCATGACTGTGGACAAATTACTTTAACTCTTCTTTGTCCTGGTTCTTCATATGAAAGCTGGCATTGCAGCATTAGCTGTTCCTTATATTTACCTTAATCTTTTCTAGACTTTCTCCTAAGCAGAGTTTCTTTAAGGAAAGGAATAAAAAATTTCCTTTGATTTTGACCAGTACTTGGAAATTCTGCTGCATTTCTTTACTTGCCCTATTCTTAATGGAAATTTTCCCATTAACTTTCCCTGTAGAGGACTTTGTTGCTAATGGGGTAGGTAGTCAGATAGTCAGGTTTACCTGATGTTGAACTCGATGGTGTTTGTGACTGCAATGGGAACCAGGCTTACGTGTGCTTATGATAAGTAAGTGAGAGGAACTAAGGACCATTGCCTCAATCTCAGTTACATTGTCCGCCTGAAAAAAAAATTCTGTGGCAAATACTAGTCACTGAGGATTTGATTAAAACCCTAATGGAATCTGTGATAGAAAGGCATGAAAAACTTACCCAAATTCCTTATCTCAAGGTAGGCAGTCTAACTTATAGGGTACATTTTTACCTGGCCCGATATTACTTAATATTTTCTGAATTTTTCCAGAAAATCATTAAATGTCATTGTGTTTGTTGATCACAATAATTTCACTGAGTAGTGCCCAATAAGCAATTTCAAGTACCTTTGAATTTGGAGGACCATCTCTCTCTCAAAGTAATTATGCTGCATCAGGAAAGGCATAATTTGGGGCAAGTGACAATAAATACTATAGTGTAGGATTTACACGTGGATTTACCAGAGCTCTTGTTATTTCTACTGATAGTCAATAGGCCATGTTATAGGTGAGTCATTTTTCAACACCAGAAAAGATGGGACTACAGTCATTTGGTTTAGCTTCTGACTTTATTGGTGTCATTAGTATGAACCAGTATATGTATCCTACTAGGACAGCGGTTCTCAACCTGTGGGTAGCGACCCCTTTGGGGGTTGAATGACCCTTTCACAGGGGTCGCCCAAGACCATTGGAAAACACATATATAATTACATATTGTTTTTGTGATTAATCACTATGCTTTAATTATGTTCAATTTGTAACAATGAAAATACATCCTGCATATCAGATATTTACATTACGATTCATAACAGTAGCAAAATTACAGTTATGAAGTAGCAACAAAAATAATTTTATGGTTGGGGGTCACCACAACATGAGGAACTGTATTAAAGGGTCGCGGCATTAGGAAGGTTGAGAACCACTGTTCTAGGACTTTAGTAGGAATAGTTGAAGACCCAAGTCGAAACAGAAAAATATTTGAACTGTTTAATCAATTCTAAATTATGATATAGCATGTTAAAGAGCAAAACTAGTATTTGCTTCCTTTGCTAATGTTCTTTATATCTTTGGAGACCTATTTATTCAAGATACAGTATATTTTAAATTTCTTCTAGCCTTTCACATAATATCTTTAATATCTCTTAAAATTCTCAATCCTATAGCTTCAAGCACAAATGCCAGCCTGATATCCACTTCATCTACAATTGCCAATATTCCAGCAGCAGCAGTTTCCAGCATCTCAAACCAGGTACAGTGCTACTTTTGTTTATCCTGTTTGATATGGTTCATCTAGCTAGCTCGTCCTCTCTTCTTTTCATTGTCAATTTGCCAATCTAAAAACAACCGGTATGTGCTGTGGAAAGACCCTTCTCTGGAAGCTCTGAGAACCTGTCCCCTGGATGGTTTCTCAGGCCCCATCCAGCTTCCCTCATTTCTCTGCTAAGCCTCTCAATGATATGGTTCTATCTGCTCCCTTTATCTACTGTGTGTGTCTCTATCTCCTACCCTGCCCCTTTTAGAATGTAAGCTCTATGAGGGAGGGGTTTATTTCTCTATTTTGTTCACTTACATATTTCCAGAGTTCATAAAAATGCCTGGCATTCACATTAAAGGCACATAATAAATATTTGTGGAATGAATAAATGTTGCTTCCACTTTTATTTAGCTACTCATTCCTTTGTGAATTCTTTGTGGTCTGTTTTTTTGTTTGTTTGTTTGTTTGCTTGATTTTATTCTCATCCAAGGATATTTTTTCCAATTATTTCTAGAGAGAGTGGAAGGGAGGGAGGAGAGGATGAGAAAGAGAGCGAGAGAGAGAGAGAGAGATACACATCAATGTGAGAGAGACACATCCGTTGGTTGCCTGCCAGGGCTGGGGAACATGCAACCAAGGTACATGCACTTGACCAGGAATTGAACCTGAAACCCTTTGGTCCACAGGCCGATGCTCAAACCACTGAGAAAATCTGGCCAGGACTGTGGTCTGATTTGTATCATTGTTCTGTTAACATTTTATCTTGGATCACTGATAATATCTTCAGTGCCTTTATTGTTATGTTTTTATTTGTTGTTTCTCTGCAGCAATTAATATTATCAACTACTGTATCCATCTTTTTTCTGGCTGCATTTAACATACTACTATTCTGGTTCATTTTTTTATGTTTGTTCCTGCATTCGTTCATCTTTTAATCCACAAATATTTATTGAGTTCCTCCTATTAGGGATAAGATGTACCTGGCACTATTCAGGGTACATCTATCCTCTTCCTTTCTTAGCTTTTCTTGTATCAGGGACAGTCTGTATTTAGTTTTCCATCCCCAGGAATGTGTAACCACATTCACAATATCCATTTACTACCTCTGAAATAAAGATTCTAGTCGTAATCTTAGCTACAGGCTTTCTGCTTATTGGTGGACTTTTTTTTTTAATGTCCTGTTATTTCCTTAAGTTTACCATATCTAAAAACAATCTTTCATTCTTCCCTTTCTTCTGTCACCTTGTTCTCCAACAGTAAGACCACTTTTCTCTAGGACTTCTCAATTCTTGTTAATGAGACCATTTTTTTAATAAACCTAGGCCTAGACCAGTCAACAATATATTTTCCTCACTTATCCCTAATCCAGCCTTTTCTAAAATTCTTTGTTTTTCACTTTTGCTATCATTTCCCATGTTTTGTCCTCACCCCTTAATCCTGAATTACTGTATTTAACTATTCATCTCTCATTTTTTGCCATGTTGTCCATTTTCTAAACACCATCTGATTACTTTTCTCTAAATGTCACTTTTTATCCTACACTCACCTGCTCATTATCTTTCTGTCTGTTTACTTGTTGGTTTGAATTTGATAATCCCCATTTCCTGTCCCCGCATAAGCGAATCACCATTGTCTAAACTAGTGGTTCTCAACCTTGGCTGCACATTAGAATCACCTGGGAATCTTTTTAAAATCCTGATTTCTGGGCCTCATCCTCCGGAAATTCTGTTTCTTTGTTATGGGGTGGGGTCACAACATTAGTAACAAGAAACAGAATTTCTGGAGGATGAGGCCCAGAAATCAGGATTTTAAAAAGATTCCCAGGTGATTCTAATGTGTAGCCAAGGTTGAGAACCACTGGAAACAATCCAAGTCATATTCCTTAACCAGTCATTCAAGCCTAAAAAGATCCTTTCAACCAGACTGAACATCTCTGGCTCCTTAATAAAATCTTTTCAGAGCCTATTCTTGTATTTATTCCCTCTGCCTACTTATCTCAGTAAACACTCTAACCACAATCTTCTGTGATACTTGTCTTCCTCTGTGTTTTACTCATTTGACATATAATTTATTGCTAATTTGTTGGAACTGTTGTTGTTTTTTCTTAGCTCCTGTTGAATTTTTAACTCCCTTGAGTACAGCTAGTATGACTTACTCTCTATAATAATCTCTTTTCCCACCCATGCACACACACCACCCCCCCCCCCCCCCACCCCGCCACT